GAAACAGTCCCTGTTCCCCTTACTAGGGAACCCACTTGGATACTGAGCTACCATGGGCTACATCCAGCAGCGGTTCTAGGTTATATCCATACATGGTTCTTGGTTGGAGAAACAGTCTCATAAAAGACCCCTGTGCCCTGATATATTTGGTCCTTGTGGAGCTCCTGTCCTCTCGAGGCCATACTAACTCCCCCTTCTTTCATATGATTCCCTGCACTCTGCTGAAGGTTTGGTTGTGAATCTTAGCATCTGCTTTGATACACTGCTAGGTAGAGTCTTTCAGAGGTCCTCGGCGGCAGGCTTCTGCCCTGTTACTTGTTTTCTTTGACCTCCCCCCACCCCATGGGAGGAGCAGTCCTGCTAGGCCACAGAGGAGGACATTGCAGCCAGTCCTGAAGATACCTGATAAGCTAGGGTCAGATGGAAGGGGAAGAGGACCTCCCCTATCAGTGGACTTGGAAAGGGGCAGGAAGGAGATGAGGGAGGGAGGGTGGAATTGGGACGGAATGAGGGAGGGGGCTACGGCTGGGATACAAAGCAAACAACCTGCGATTAATATAAAAAAATAAAAATTATTTAAAGAAAATAAATAAAAATGAAATAAAAAATTATAAGTTAATAAACCTTTAAAATATATTTTAAAGGAATTAAGTAATTACATAATTGGTATTTCTGATGTATTTTTAAACATTTATTCAGTGTGTGCATGTATGTGTGTGTATATACATATACATACTGTGTAAATGTGGAAGTCAGAAAATAACTTGCAGGAATTAGTATTTCTCTTTCTGCCTATAGGTCTTGGGCATTGAATCCATGCCGTCTGGCTTGGTTGCAAGTACCCTTATACACCTGAGCCATCTCACCAGTCCTTTGCGAAGGTTTCTGAATTGCATACAATTTAGAAATGACATTTCTTCTTTCACAGAGCTTTTAATCAAAATTATATACTGTATAGGCAATAGTTAGTATTATAAATTGATAACACATTATGTTTAATAACTGGATTTCTTTACTGTTTTGAAAGGTCTGATATGCCGAGCATTACCCAGGGGGAGCCCTCATTCTGATCTCAAAGAAAGGACTGTGCTGTCTGGTTCCATAATGCAGGGTACATTGTGTTTTGCCTTTTTACTATTTGTGATTCACTAGCAAGGTAGTCTAATAATAATTTAATTTAAGAGAGTATTACATCTACTTTTCAAGATAGTTTACCCTTTGAAGTATTAAATGTTAAGTCTTAATCTTTTGTTGTTGTTGTTTCTTTGTTTTTGTTGTTGTTTTCGTTTGAGACAGGGTTTCTTTTTGTAGCCTTGGCTGTCCTGGACTCACTTTGTAGATCAGACTGTCCTCAAACTCAGCGATCTGCCTCCGCCTTCCTGGGTACTGGGATTAAAGGACTATGCCACCACACCTGGCTGCTAAGTCAAGTTTCAACTTTTTTCTTAGCTACATCACTTATCAGAAGGTTTTAGTTGTCTGATCTTTTAATATCAAGGCATCTATATAAAAATCATTCTGAAACTATAATGAATAATACCCTATTCACTTTGAGTAATCCTAAAATAAAACTTGGGAATGCCTCCCTGAGGCTCTGTAGTAGAAATTCAGGACAGGGCTGTGCAACCATCAGTATTATTTTAACAGGTATGTTTCCTGAACTCTTCCTAAAGGCACACCAAGAGCAACAGCTGAAAGCTTTGAAGATGGCCTTAAATATCCCAAACAGATTAAAAGGGAAAGCCCTCCTATTCGAGCATTTGAAGGTGCCATTACCAAAGGAAAACCATATGATGGTATCACCACAATCAAAGAAATGGGGCGTTCCATTCATGAGATTCCGCGACAAGATATTCTAACTCAGGAAAGCCGAAAAACTCCAGAAGTGGTCCAGAGCACAAGGCCAATAATTGAGGGTTCTATTTCCCAGGTAAATAGATCAAGGCTCTTTGTGACAGCAATTCCACTTCATACTGACATTTGTAGAACAGTATTGAAAATACGACTCTGTAGTTCTAGGTAGTTCTTATGTTAGACTTCTTAGTAGTGAATCTTTCACCTTCACATCATCAGTTCTTGTACATGTAGTTTAAGGTCAGTAATTTAGGAGTGTGTGTAATTAAGGGTCTGTGGTCTTAGATTGATGTCACCACAACAAAGTATAATGAGCCAGACATATATCTTAGAAGGAACAGTATCTAGATAACTTTGTTACCTGTAATGTTTGTTTCATTCCCCTTAGGGCACACCAATAAAATTTGACAACAACTCAGGTCAATCAGCTATCAAACACAATGTGAAGTCCTTAATCACAGGGCCTAGCAAACTGCCCCGTGGAATGCTGGAAATTGTACCAGAGAACATAAAAGTAGTAGAACGGGGAAAATATGAGGATGCGAAAGCAGGCGAGTCAGTGCGTCCCCGGCACACATCGGTGGTGAGCTCTGGCCCCTCGGTTCTCAGGTCTACACTTCATGAAGCTCCCAAAGCACAGCTGAGCCCAGGAATCTATGATGACAACAGTGCTCGAAGGACTCCTGTGAGTTACCAGAGCACCATATCCAGAGGCTCACCCATGATGAACAGAACTTCTGATGGTATGACTTTTTTTGCCTGGTCTGATTACTTGTGCAACATTTTTTACCTCTAGCAAACAGAAAATAGTCATTCACTAGCTCTATATTATGTCAGGATGCAGCTCAGTCAATAAGATTCAGTCATTCTCCAGAACCCATGTGTCTAGGGGTTGGGGGTGTCTGCTAATTATCCCAACGTAGGGAGGTAGACATGAGTGAATTCCCTTGGGATCAGTACGTATATTTTGAGGTCTTACCTGAAGCCAACCTTCTCAACCGTGGGCCATGATTTCCTCAGGGAATACATATCAGATACCCTGTGTATCAGATGTTTACACTTCATAACATTATAAAATTACAGTTAGGAAGTAGCAAAAATAATTTTATGATTAGGGGTCACGACAACATGAAGAACGGTATGAAAGGGTCACAGCATTAGGAAAGTTGAGAACCAGTGTGTCTGGCCTTGGGCTACATGGTGAAGAGTTGAGGAATGTTTTAGGAGGAATGGCACCGCAGGCAGAGGAAGGAGAGCCTGCTAGAGTTGTCTGAGGAGGGCATGCAAAAGACTTGGCATCAGGCAGGATAAACCAGCAAGATTTTTAGTTTTGATAGGGAAATTTGGTTTTGGCCACGTTGTACCAGCAGAATTTTAGCTAAAAGCTTTATGGTAGCTGGGTATGGTGGTCTACACCTATATCCCAGTACTTGGGAGTCAGGACAGTGGTCGGAGCAGGTTTGAGCACTACAAAATAAGAGACCGTTCAGCTAAACAAACAAAACAGAAGCACAAATGATAGTTGCATATCATGTGTAATTTAATATCAGTGAATTACTCCCTTCAGAATGTACAAAGTACATGGGGTTTAATCTTCAGCAGTGCAGAAATGAAAAAGTAAAGAAATTCAGTAGGGCTGAGGAGATGGTTCTGTGGTCTGCTCTTCCCAAAACATGTGTGTTCAATTCCCAGCAGCTACACGATGGCTAACAGCCATGTGTAACTCTT